GCAATGCATGTCTCAGTAAACTTAGTTGGATCTGTTTATGAGTAGATATGTATATATATGAAATCATTTACTTCATACATAATTCAAAACTATTTCTGTTACGAACTCTTGTGTTGCTGAGAATTATTTATATTATTCTGGAGAATAATATAAATGCATAAGCATATCTTGGAAGAGGTACTTATGCAACAGAACAGAAATGCCATATCTTGGAAGAGGTACTCCAAAGCAAAGTAAACTATTATATTCATACTGCTGGTAGGTTTAGTAATAAAATGGAATATTTTATTTTAAAAATATTACTGTACAAGGATAGAAACATGGGCCTAAATACAACATGCTAACAGACTCATCACTCTTATTGTTAACTGCTATGTTACATTTACTGTAATTTCATAAGCCCACATCTAAATACAATATTCTTCCTAGATTAAGTATTACAAACAGCTTTGTAAATACTGTATGACACTTTAGTCCTTGCAATGTAATACTGAGTTTCATGAAAAGCTTCAAGAGTTGAAACCATGTTGGGTTTAGCTTCACTATACAGAGGGGTCTTGACTTAAGAACGGCTTGAGTTAAGAACATTTTGACTTAAGAACCGCTCTCATAGGAAAATATTGACTTGACTTAAGTACTTAGATTTGAGTTAAGAACTGAAAAAAAACCACGTGGGAGGCAGGGAAAGTGCAAAATGTGAACTTTCAGTTAACTGTTGGCCAGTGAAAAGGGTGCCTGTCTGCTTCCTCACTCCTCCCAGCGTTTAGAGAGTGGATTGGGAGACAGTCTTCAGACTGCCTGGACTGTATTTTCCTTGCCTTCCCTGAACCTTTCTTGACCTAAGAAAAAAAAAGAAACAAAATATCCCCCTCTAGTGGTCGAAGGTGGAATAGCAGCTTCCCATTAGTTTCTATGGACGGAAAAGAGCAGATACGGATCAAATGGTTTTCAATGCATTCTTATGGGAAATGCAGATTTGACTTGAGAACTTTTTGACTTGAGAACCACCTTCCAATACGGATTAAGTTCTCAAGTCAAGACCCCACTGTATTTTGAATGCCATGTAACTTCGCTTGATGACATTTCGGTGCCAGGTCAAAACCTTCCTGTTCCAGAAGGCTTTTAATTGAAATAACAACTGTGGGTCCTGATGATGGCAATTCTAATTGTATTTTAATTGTATTTTAATTGTATTTTAATCGGATTTTTCGTTAAACGGTGCACTCGTTAAGCGAGGCACCACTGTATTTGAATGCCATGTAACTTCGCTGATAAATTAAAAAAAAAACTTCAAGCATACAGTTAAATAATATTATTAACACTAAAACTCTCTTGCTTACTTTCAGTGTGATATGTAAGTATTAACAGGTAAAGGAAAGATGCACAAGATAATTCCGGCTAAGTCATTTGATGCTTCTGAAATATTTTTCCATGAATGTGTTGTCAGTCACATTGACAGGAAACAATTTTTAAATTTTACTTTAAAATGGCTTAGTTGTAATCCCATTAAAATGCTTAGCCAGAATACTGGAACGGGGGCATTTTGGTCAGGCCTGGCACCACATTCCATGATGTGGGCTGTAGTATATGTTGATATAATTCTAAATATAACTATTGTCTTATTTCTTGTTTGTTTTGTAGGGGATATAAAAGTTTTTGTTTAGATATGATTCATGTTAAATGCATATGTTGTCTCTTTGTATAATTTATATCTGTGATATTATTCTGTGCCTGTGTTGAACTTTGTAGAATCAGTGATTGAATGGAATACGAAACCAATGTTTCTGTCAATGACCTAGTTAAATCTCTGAAGCATACTTAGTTATTTCTGCCCTAACCTGGATCCAAAGGTGAGGTGGTGACTTGGTGAAGATACACCAGTGCTTGGCAACTAAATTGTCTAGTTAGCCAATTTATGTTATATTTATTTTATTACAATTATGTCCCACTTTTCTTTCATCATAGAACTTGAAACTGTTGCCATAGTTGCCAACTGATGGTCTCCCATCTAGCCTCTGACCAGTTCATAGCATGCTTAGTTCCATCAGATTGCTGCATCATGCACCTTCCTGCAAATCTTTTGGGCCACATACTTGCATTGTAGAACTACTTACTTTCTTTACTTGAAGCCTTACTTCAAGAGATCCCAACCACTATTTCAGTGGTTCCCAACCTTGGTTCCCCAGATGTTCTTGGACTAAAACTCCCAGGAGCTGGCTAGGATTTCTGGGAATTGTAGTCTAAGAATTTTTGTGGACCCAAGGTTGGGAACCACTGGACTAGTTCATGGATAGACAGATGTGGGTGCACCTAGACAGTGAAGTTATCGCTGGCGGGATTGGATTCACAGGTTTGCTTGAAAATGTGGTCTGGGATTTAATGGGACTTGCTGTTATGTAAGTGTATAAATGGAGAGTGGTAAGGAAGCACAGAGAATGCACTGTCATGTTGACAGAAAAGATTGTAGTGTTATATTTGTATCAAATGGAAGGCAGACTTAAGCAGTCCATGTATTATAAAAGAAAGGGAGCAGTCAGTTTTCCATATCTTTTCTCCCTCTTGTCCATTTCACACGAGATATATCTCAGAAACAGCACAATACATGAGGACATTGAGTCGTACATTCCATTGTACAGTGGAAACTGTACAATGTGAGGACATGTGTTATTTGTCCTGAGGAGAGTTGTGAAGGGTGGGGGAGAGATGCTGAAGCCATGGCATCTCTTAATAACATCTGGTTTAGCCTTCAGGGTGGGATTTAAACGAATCTGCACATTCTGTAGCTGTGTAGAAAAGATAAACATGCTGACAAAATATGCCCCTGGATTTCTCGAAACGTCCAGGCGTTCCTCACTTAATAGGAACTAAGGACCACAGCCGTGGCTCTGGGAAAGAGCACTTGTACATTCCAAGCATGAACCACTTGACCATAACTTGGAGAGACTTTAAGAGATGGAAGGCAGCTTGAAGGAAGGCGGTGAAAAGGCTGAGGGAAGCCCCACACAAGTGAGGTCTGTGTGCCTTCCGATGGTGGAAAGAGCATCAACACAATTGGGTGAATTGTTTCTGTGCGCATCTGCTGGTCCATTGAAGAAAAAAAAATATCTGAAGTCTTTCCCTCCCTTCCTCTCTGTTTGTCTTTTTCTCACACAGACTGGGACTCATTCAGGATTTGGGTACTGTGGAGGCTTCAGAGGGAAGGAACGAGAAAATATTTAATGGCAGTTTTCAGGGGGAATACTGGATTTATCCTTATTTCATTTATTATTTACTGGGCTCACATCTTGGATTAATACGTAAAAATTTGAAAGTGCTGAACAGGCTCCATGAAATTAATAGGGGGCAGGGCTTCTAGATAGCTATGAGTTACTTATTTTTTCTAGCTTGTTCTTTCCCTCCTACAAATTGAAACATTGTGATTTTTTAAAAAAACATACGTGTTAACATTGGTATATTCCTATATCACTCTTACACAAACCAAACTGGTCTTCTCTCTGGTTAAACTGCATGCTACATAGGCAGATCTGTAACTGGATAGCTTCATTGTTTATTTTATTTTTATTTTATTAGATTTCTACCCTGCCCATCTAGACCAAAGGTCTACTCTGTTCCTTTTTTATACCAGAATGCAATCATGGTGGTTACTGCCCCCTGCTCCTGGTGTGATTTTTTTTTTCCTAATGAAAATCACATATATTGCCCTGCAGAGGGAAGTGAAATAACCAGGTGTGTTACATTTACTTTCAACTGATGCACTGGCAATATTCTAACACATGCAGAAATTCAGGGTAAACTTTAATTTGTTGTTGTTTAGCCGTTTAGTCGTGTCTGACTTTTCATGACTCCATGGACCAGAGCACACCAAGCCCTTTAATACATCCTACCATATAACCCTAGATGCAACTTCAAAGCCAATTTTTAATCATAATCAGCAACCTAAAATGTTGATAGCTGTCATTTCCCATTTTATTAGCCTTGTGCAGATTTATTTTGTTCAGTTTAAGCAGCTGTTTGGTTACTGGTATCAGCGTATGTGCCTTTTCTTAGGCATACATTATTTTCCATAGTCGCCATTCATGCAGACCCTCACTTGCCTGAAAATATGTCTTTTTCCTCAGTAGTTTGTTTTTATTTGTATAGAAATTTTTAAACTTTGTTCATTTGAAATGATGCACTTGTTCTAATTTTTGCACTATTACATCATTTCTACCATTTTACCTTTGCATTTATCTCAAATGGGAGGAAATATTAGACCAATGTTATTAGCTCCTAACCATGCAAAATAAATGCATGGACATAACAGTAGAGATAATGGAGCAAAGATCAGAACAGATGCAGGATTAATGCAGGATTAATTTTTAGAAGTGCTAGATATTAGAAATTTAAACTTCAGAAGATTTCCCCCTTTCATCTACTCCAAATGCAGAAGCTCCTTTCTATTGTCTGCCCTGCACGGGGACTGAAATCTCCTCTTCTTCTTTGTTATGCTATGCTGCAAAATTTATTCACTTATGCATGGGAAAGGATTAATGCAACATTAGGCAGCATTCAGCAAATTTATTCTACCTTCCCAATAAGTGCTTAAATGGTTACTTTGAAATAATTGGCCTTTATTCACTTCAAATACCCATTATTAGAGCTGTGTTTTCAGCCAATAGGAGGAGTTCAGATCGTGATGATTTTTGCTGCAGAACTCAAAATGCTTTCCCCCTATGGCTCTCGCAGGTTTGAGCAGGCGCAGTGCTCTGAGACGCCTGATAGAGATACTGTGTTTTGCTTATCTCCTATTGATTTGTTTCAGAGGCTAAATGAATAAGAGGTCTGTTGACCTGGTTTATACTGAGCTTTTGAAAAAAAAAAAGGGCCCTTCTTTTAATATGCTGTTTTTTATGTTTTAATGTGTCTGTTTAGTGTTCTTGTAAACCCCCCCCCCCTTTAAGAGCGGTGAGTTTCTGAGCTTACCCCGTGTTTCTGTTCTTTCTTCATTCCTCCTCTGTAAGGCTGGTCCTGGGACCATCAATATGGCTTCAGGAGTCCTGGATTATAACAGAACAGAGTCTGATAGATTAAATGAGATCAAAGGCCATCTGGAAATTGCCTTGCTGGAAAAACACTTCCTACGTAAGTACAAAGGAATGTTTTAGGGTTGTGATATGTTTAGCAATGCTTTTGTGCGCTGGGCTATTTGTATGCATATGTATCTGTGTTGGAAATACAGATTTTAAAAGCAAAATGATTTAGTTAAAAGGTGTTGTTTTAAAATGCAGAAATCCACGCAGCAAGATTCTCTTATTCCAACAATGGTAAACATGAAAGGTTCCCACAATTATCATCTGATTTCATAATTGTAAAGCTATTTAGAAATTGTTTGGGAAGAGAAGCTTTTGTGTGAGGAGTTTTGTCTAGCCAGAGGATTATGGCAAGTAGTAACATAGAAGCTAGTTTATTTTCTTTTTCTTTATATCTCCCAGCATGTCATCCAGAAGCTTTTAACAAGAGAGGATGAGATAGATGTACTTTGAAAAGAAAAACTGTTCCTTTTTCATTTGTAGTCATTGGATGGGTTCTGTTTGCAATAGTAAGGCTTTTTGTCTGACAGCATGAACACTGTAATTTGAATCCAGCTATTTGCCCTGTTTTTCTTTGTCTCTCTCTCTCTCTCTCTCTCTCTCTCACTCACTCACTCACTCACTCACTCACTCACTCACTCACTCTAAATATGTGTACTGTCTAATCTTGTGACTAGGGCATATAATAAGTGCATATGTTCTTACATAATTTTAAAACACTGTCCTAAATCTAATTTGTAGTCTCAATTAGTGTAGGCACATTGAATCAGTTGCTGAATATAATCACATATATAAATCCCATTTGTTCAGTGGGTCTACTCTAGTTGGCACTATAAATTGGATTCTGGTCACTATTTTAAATGCACAGTTTGTGTAACTAAAACATAAACATTTGAAAAAGCAGGGAAGCTACTGTGGTCTTTGTGATACAGTGGGGGCTTGATTTGAAAACTTAAAATCCGTATTGGAAGGCGGTTCTTAAGTCAAAAAGTCTGTAAGTCAAGTCTCCATTGACCTACAGTGCATTGAAAACCGATTAATCCCGTAACAGGCCGTTTTTGTTCCATTTTGGTTTTTTTCTGGTCTGTAAGTCAATTTTCAGGCTGCAAGTCAAACCTAAATTTTGCGGCCAGAGAAGTCTGTAACTCAAAAAGTCTGTAAGTCAAGCCGTCTGTAAGTCAAGGGTCCACTGTACCTAAAACTCTTTAAAGGTTATCCAAACTAAATGGGTTGTAGTTGAAATTTATATTTTGTTATGTGCCATCAAGTTGCCTTGGACTCCTGGGGACCCTATGAATGAGCGATCTCCAGAATGTCCTGTCCTCAGGTGTCCTGTTCAGCTCTTGTAGACTCAAGCCCATGGTCTCTTTTAGGGAGTCAGTCCATCTCATATTTAGTCTTCTTTTCCTGCTGCCTTCCACCTTTCCCAACATTTTGTCTTTTCCGAAGAATCCTGTTTTCTCATGATGTGCCCAAAGTAGGACAGCCTCAGTTTACATTTTTAGATACTTAGAAATCTGTAAAATCCTAGCTCATGTAGGTAAGTAGTTTCTTAGTAAAATCATTTCCAGAACTCGTACTCTCGTAATTCTAAATATATATAGGTAAAGGTTCCCCTTGTCAATTAAATCCAGTTGTGTTTGACTCTAGGGGCTGGTGCTCATCCCTGTTTGTAAGCCAAAGAGACAGTGTTTGTCCATAGATACTTTCCATGGACATGTAGCTGGCATGACTAGACATGGAATGCCGTTACCTTCCCATCAAGGTGGTACCTATTCATCTACTCATATTTGCGTGCTTTCAAACTGCTAGGTTGGTAGGAGCTGGGACAAACAACAGGCGTTGCACAGATTCGAACTGCTGACCTTTCAAACGACAGCCCAGTGGCTCAGCAGGAGCACTCACATCCCCTAAAAATATATACAGTGGTACCTCGATTTACAAACTTAATCCGTATTGGAATTAAGTTCGTAAGTCAAGTCAGACTTTCCCATTGGAATGCATTGAAAACCATTTAATCCGTATCTGCTGTTTTCCATTCGTATGTTGAGGCGCTGTTCATAGGTAGAGGCATTAGTTCCCATAGGAATTAACGCAAAGCCAGTTAATCTGTACTCCACCACTAGGGGGTGATTTTTTTCTTCTTTTGACCTAAGTTGAATTTAGGTCAAAAAAGGGCAGGAAAGGTTTTTTTTCTTGTTCTTTTTGATTCGTAAGTCGAGGCTCCGTTTGCAGGTTGAAGCAACTTTTTGCAAACAGAGATGTTTGTGACTCGAATCATTCACAAATAGGGACGTTCGTAAGTCAAGGTACCACTGTAGCTGTTGGGAATTATGGGTGCTATTGTAAAAGGTTTGTCTGAATTTAATAAGTAAGCTAGGGATAAGTAGTCTGACATTTAAAATGGCAGCACAGAGAAATCTGTTTCCCAGGACAGATATCAAAGTGACTATTGTAGAAAAAAAAAGAATTACAAAGGGAAGCTCAAGAGAGAGACAGCAGGAATTGACTACATAAATAAGTTCCAGTGCATCTCTAAGGGCTTCTTAGCACACTAGACATATTAGATAGATAAAGATCACTAAATGTATCAGTAGCCCAGCTTTCTGTAATATCTTATGGAATAAAATAGTAGTCTCCTTGATAAACTCTGACATCTTTCCCAGGAACAACTTTCACCATTCCTGTGACAGCCAAGTCTATGTACCTTATGGCACGGATGAGACCTGCTAAATAATAGCTTGATAATCTTAATTTCTGCATTAATAAATGGTTGTCCCTTTATCTGTTTTCTGTATCTTTACGTGGACATAAATCTCACCACCATGGAATAAATATAGAGAACATGTTTTTTTCATTCTTGTGTCTGAAGAAGTGGATTTTGATCCCCAAAATATCATACTAAAATAAATCTGTTAGTCTTTAAAGGACTACGATATTTTGCCTTCCCTCCTCCAGTTTTGTCAGTAAGCTAGTGAAAACATCTAAGAAAGATCAACTGCAAAATTATTATGGATACTGAAAATAAATTTACCCTTATTTTATTTAGATATTTGTAATCAGGACAAATTGCTGTGAGATGAAGCAATTACACCTCAAAATAAGAAGCCTAAAGCTTTTAAGGAATTGCTGACATGTCTTAGGAAGAGTAGCACCATTACATCTATGTCTGTGGTCTCTTGGCAGACCAAAGACTGAAGCCCACATCACCAGTGTACCCAAGCATATGTGAGTCCAGTTTCTGATGCAAAGGGATCAGCAACTCTCCTCTGCCTGCCTACACCTTATGCCAGCAGACAGTTGGAGTGCTGAACAACGAGGAGGGATGTCCATCTTCATCTTCTCACTCACACCAGAAATTTTACCCACAGGTAGTGGCTGCACCCCTTGGGTGTAGGTGCAAGTTAGGATTCTAAAAGAATAAGTTGAGATTTAATCACCTTTCTGGTAATCACAGGGCGTACTAAACTCTTGTGTTTTATAAGCTGTGGCCACTGCTGCCCTGTCCAGGGTGGGAGTGCCCAGAAGAGTCTCCTCCACCATAATCCCAGGTATCTTACTGCTGCCTGAAATGGACTTTATTAGGGTTGGGGAATGGGGTGCAAACCCTGTTTTGTTGCCTTGCTCTCCCTGTCCTGATAGTTTGCAGGAGGGCTTAGTTAACCTCACTAGCCCCGTATTGCCTTCAGTCCCCAACTGGGTCTAAGTTCCATGCACTGGCCTCTCAGTGTCTGCATTCTGGGGCTAGAATCTGTACTTTGCAACACTGACCGCAGCCAGTTGATGACCTTGGGGGGGCAGTAGTGCCAGGCACGAGCCCCAACAGTTTGTCCTGCTATTGGAAGATCTGCCGCAGGTGCTTGCTGTGGCACTTTCTCCACCAGCACTACCTCTGGGCCAGGGTGGGGTGGCTTGAGGCTTGGCTGGGCACTTTGTGATAGAAACCCAGATGACTGGTGCGCTCCCCCCATATCTTTTATTCACAAGGAAGCGAATCTACCCACCTACAGTAGCTGGTCCTTGCTGACGGTGCACAAGATGGGAGGGGGCTCCTCTGAGGCCTCTGCCCAGTGCTTTTCCTCCAAGTCTGTTGAGGGTGATGATTCCTCCCACTTCCTCCTTTAAATCTGAGTTCTGCTAGCCTGTACTAGGCTTCATCCAAGTGTGTTTTATCTGTCTCCTCCCATCTTTGGTGAGGGTCTCACTCTTGCCATTGGTGTCCTCAGGCCTACCTGCTGCCTTGGGGGTTATGGGTCTAAGGCAGAAGGTCTTCTGAGGACAGCCAGAGCATTCCCCTCATGTAAGCGTGATTTCTGTGCCCTGCCATGGTAAGAACAGGATCATCTACTAGGTACGGGACCACAGCAGGGAGAAAAAGCCCTTGCACCTTCCTCACCCTGGCAGACCCATCTTATCAGTAATTTGTGCAGAGAGAAGGGCTTTGATTTTATTTATTTCTCCTTTCCTTTTGCCATCTCTCAACTTTGGTTTGCCACTTTTGTTTCTAAAATTTACATGTAGGAGAGTTATGGTTCAGGTCTCTGTCCTGAGGAGCTGACAAGGGCAGCAGGAACGGTGTACACGGGGCCCTTTTTAGAAAGCGACAATCTCTCCTAGTTAGCATTTTTATGGGGAAGGTGGAACAGGAGGGCTGAATCCAGATCCCTCTCCATCAACATGGTGTGTTCTGTTTGCTGTCTCAGCCTTCTATGAAGCACATAAACTTCAGCTTCATAGAATCAGGCAGCTGAATCAGGAAGAGTATTTTGCATACACAGTTCTTAATCTAAGAGAGGATTTAGCTTGTATTCCAGCCTCTGTATGTACACTGTTTTAGCTTAATTGGGGTGTTTATTTCCTCACCTGGATGTTACTGAAAATGATCTTTTTGTGATGTTTTCTCTGTGCCGCTGCCTCAACACCTTACAGAAGCCTGAACTCGCAAGTTCTGCCCTTCCTCAAAGTGAAACAAACTGTAGCATTACAGAATTGGTTTAGTATCACACTTTTTAAAAAGTCCATTTCATTTAGTAAAAGCAGTTCACTTGGACT